TGAAGTCGCTAAAGGGCGCTGTTATTAGGCACAGGGGAAATGTCGATCATGCCAGGCCTTCGAAGTAACTACTAGATCATCTAGCTTTCCCTCAAAGCTTTCCTCATATTTTCGGAGGAGGGAATCGAGTCAAAAAAGCCATAGCGGATCACGCTAACCTCACTAAAGCCTTTGCGAGACTAGGAAAGCTTTAGTGGTTGGACTTCCGGGGGAATCCCTGTTCATGCTAAAACTGACTCATGTTTGGCGCCGTACTTCCGATCAAAAGTCCACAATCATTTACGCCCAGACGCCCACTAACGTGACTGATATCGCTGTTTACGCGCTAGACCGACTATGTCGTTGCTCATTCAGCACTTCACGTAGCAACAACTGACTTGCTACTAACTTTTTTGTTTATTCCTTTGTTTTGTTTGTTTCGATATTCACTAATTCAAGTCCTTTAAGTCCTTTTTTCGAGCATTTACGCGCAGATTTCCTACACAATTCAATGCTTGATTCTGCCGTCATTTTGTAATATTTAAGCTGTAGTTATTATATATGTACTTTGCACGATTTTGATGCAACTTCTTAATTTACTTTATTAATTTTATTTATCTTTATATACTTTTTTTATCAGAGAAGTAAACAGAGGTTCACAACCTTATTTTATATAAAGCAAAGTAGCCAACCATCACAATTTCAAAAAAAGTTCTGGTCATTTTTAAGCATTAATGCCAGAAATACGAGGGGGGATTGCAAAAAATCACTCCTCTCATGGCGCACACCGGCCAACTTTTCATTGCGGAAGGTGCCACCGCTGGTTGAAGGTTTATGGCAAAATATTTTATATGAATATTCATTTTTTAAATTCAAATTTAAATTTATTACTAATATTGCTAATTATGACCTAATAAATTTCAAAAACACTCAAATGTGAGAAAGGGTGACTTTAGGGCAACTTTTTCTACTATTGCCCCTCCCCTTGTACAAAGAAGATATCGTATTTATTTTTCCATATCATAGCTGTATTTATTTTATTTTTGTGACTACTTATTTGTCACTATATTAGTGAATTTGTTACTCTATCAGGGCTCTGGAAATTTCCTTTTACTTTCTCATCTTTTAATCGAAACGCTTTACACAACAACTTGTCCACTCTTGAATATGTATGTGTTTCTTTCTTCCCAAAATGTCCATATAAGGGTGAAGCTGGCACAGTCGTGGCTGCTAGACTTTAGCGGCAGCTCAAGAAGATTGAACGTTTGGACTGCTCAACATCCCTCCCCTAACTCCTTTGTTTACCAACTGTTTCGCATCAATACTTTAGTGATCTCAATAGTAACGGGATGAATGATAGGTGATTCCCCTGGGTTTGCGTAACGCTTTAACGGCCAATGTCTTATCCACTCATACTTTTTATTTCCACTTTCACCAATCTTGTCGATTGATTGCTTCCCAGTGCGAAATAAAAACCCGTCCATTTTTTCATAGATTAATTATGTATTTACATAGTTCTGTTTGCAAGTACCTCTGAGGAATTCCCAGCGGTTTTAAGTTGAACTGATCAATTTCCATTTTCCATTGTTCTCTAGTTGACAAATGCAAATGCCGTCCAGAGATGTGAATTTGCGTATGTCAAGAGCTTGAACAAGTGTTTCCTTTGTTTCACGTGGCCTGACGTCGGGAGCATTCAAACTGAACTGCTTATTGTCGAGGCCTGTTCTTCGTTTCGTCGCGCGCCCTCATTTTCCGATCTCATCAGTGCACTGATAACGGATGATAATGGCTGCGGCGGCGGTGGCTTTTACTTTTTTTTCTGGGCGTTTTGCGGTTGCCTAAGTACTACAGTGATGTTGTAGATTAACACAGGGTGGGATTCCGATTTCCGACTTTCGCACAGCGTTAATCTTCCACCCACGGCTTTCAGATGCATGTAAAGAGGCTTTGCAAGTGGAGGCCTAATGCCAAACGTAACAGTGTGACCCTCTCTTATAATCCTACCCCCTTGGACTCCTTCCTCAAACACTACCCCTTCTCTACCCCACTACAAAAACGCCGAGCACGGGGAGGAGCTCGGTCTCTCCTTTACGATCAATCCATACTTATTCGATGTGCTACTCCTGCGCGTCGACCCGCGCGAAGCGTCGCGACGAGCAGTGATCTATGTGTGGGATGGTGGGTCGTATTTGACGCCGTAGTAATACTTATTTTTGAAGCAGGGGTCGCATTTAGGAACATTTTGCAAAAAGCCGTGCTTGTTCTCATTTGTGACGCACGTTTAATACTGCTTCATGTTTTCTTATAGCTGCCAACCTCTTTTTGAAACCGTTGTTCAAACAAGTTCCGATTTCCGATTTCCGACTTCCGTTTGTTAGTACTGCCAGTTTTCGCAAGTGTAAAATTCGTTCAAACCTTATCTGTTCAGCCTATTTCTTGATCCGATTTCCTTGCATTATTTTTTTGCGAAATACGATTAGAACAGAATTTCTTATTTGATGTCTTATTGGGGCACTGAATTTTGATTAGAGCGTAATACGTCCACATATAAGTTAGTCGCATAATTTCAGATGAATCGTAAAGTTACGGCGTGCGGATTTTCTGTACGTGGCACCGCCAAATCTGGACTTTTCACTACAATCACATTCGGCTAAGGTGAGTGCTAATTATTCCATTTTTTATATTTGATATTCAAGGATTTTTCATTGTTTGTCGATTAGGCACGAAACGCGGTTTACCTTACTTTCTCCTTTGACTGTCGACGTTCTGTGCTCGCGTGCATGTGTTACGGTAGAATATTATCCGCCAACTAAAATTTTTCAAAATTTTTCACTCCTTTTCTCCATTCATTATTTTACCGCTCAGTCGTCGCTTTAGAAATTTCAAAATAATTGGAGGAAATGAAAATCCCCATAGACAGTTCGATCAGCTGATTGTATTTGCCGCTTCCATAATCCTTACTCATTCTAATTGTCTCATGCATCTTAACTGCCTTGCTAACTTGGTAGGCTTCTGACGCGTGCGGTTGCAAAGCGGTCTTGCAATGTCTGATAAAGACGTTGGGATCAGTTGGATCCAGGTTGCAATGAAAACATGCTATTCATCAGTCGTAGATTAATCGCAAGATCACGTACTACTTCAGTGCTGTACTCAATTCAAGACACCGCAGCCGCAGCTGCGCGCGGTTCTTCAATCAACGTTATTGCTGCTTCACACTGGAAGGTTATCCCAGAGCAAGCGTTCTAGCGCTTTTGAAACATAATTTTCAAAATCCCCATTTTTCCGTCAGTGTCGTTAAAGGCGTCTCCGTATTATAAACTGTAATTTCGGGTTTGGTGACTTTTATTATTATTAATCTATTATTTATTATTACTATTATTATTGATTATTATCATTACTTATTATTATTATCTGCTATTATTATTCACTATTATTATTATTTCATTCGAACGTTCGATTCCTGATTTGTTTGTTGAACGAAAGAGCAATTTTTCAGCGATGGTAACGGCGATGGTACATTATTCGATTCTGGTGAGCTTACATGGGCACTGGATAATAATGTGAGTCTGCCGGGTTTCACTTCATTCCTTTGTCTTCATTCGCATTTATTTTTATCTTCTTTTTTCTACCTCGTTTTTCGTTTCCTCCTCTTTGGAGAGGGTTTTTATGCGCCGGTAACTCCTTTGATGGCACCCATTAGTGGAGTGTATTTACTAACACTCTATCAGAGCACAGGACAAATGTATGCACTTTAATTGCCCTTTAAGTAAATGTCTTCGCTGTTAATGTCTTCATGCCACGACGACCTTCTTGGGTGACCCACTGTGGGGTGAGCTACTTTGGGGGGGGGGGCTTATAACAGTCATTTGGCGAGTCGTCTGACTAACCGTGGTCCATTTGTGTGGAATATTAGACGACTCGCTCATCCGCATTGGCGGTTGGCTTTGCGCGGGTTCCAACCAGGGTCGATCCTACCGTTGGTACTTTTCGGAAATTTTTTACGAGCCCCCCTCTTCCAATCAAAAATTTCACGTTCCCACTCTTCACGTCACTTCAGTGCTAGACCAGTCGACACACCTAACTCCACCCACTTTCATTTCCCCACAACCCCGTCGCGGGGGAAAATGGTAGATACGGATCTTCAGCTGCTGCACTGACCGCCCTAAACTTATGCCACCAAATCTCACAGTTTCTCACGGGGCCGCACTCCACTTTCACATGGAATTCATGAGGCTCCTCTCTCATCTACAAACTCAACAAAATACGACCCCCCCGTTGGTATTTGTCGCAGCAAAAAATTGATCCTGGTTCCTACTTCTTTTCCACTGTTCGATCTTGGACTAAGGGTGTCCAGTGCGCGATCACCCCTAAAGGACTTGGATCATAGAGGATGTTTCTATGAGCTAGAGAATCTGCCTATCGTAAAGGAGGACGTCCTTGTGGCTGCTTCTTCTAGCGGGATACCATCGCACCGTAGCCGAACTCCATCGTCCATTATCTCTCCTTCACAACCGCACAATTTCCCTTAGTGACCGTCGTATGCCTCTTCATATGTTTCTATCACAAAGCGCTATCAATCGCTTCCGCAAACCAGATCGCGGATGGGCTCATGGTGCATCTAAAAAGGCAAATTTATTATTCCTGTTCACATCGGGTGGTCGTTCGCATCACATTTGTCATTGTCTTGGCGGTCGAACATTGTCAGACAATGTTGTTCTTACGTTGACCTTGTACGTAGCCGGTTTAGTCGGGTGTACTTTCACTGTTCACGACATTCGCCGAGGTTTTCCCGAATGTGGACGATTTTACGAAGTGTTTTTACAAGCTCCTCCGCTGCAATGTTATTTTTGTCCAAGGTCATCGTATTTGGTAGCGCTATTTTGTTCTCTGAAGGATGCGTGAGGACCAGTGCTAACCGAGAGGACGTTCGCCGGTCTCTCCCAGAAGGGGGGGCATGTTTTTAGCAGCTTTTCATGGTTCAAAAACACGATAGTCGTATTCTCCCAGTCTAAACTTTGGGACTAACATAAGCCTTAGAAGAGGAAAAAAACCCGCCGTTCGCTTGCACAGTCTCGTTTTTCTACACCCAAGGTTGCCCACCCTCCCCTTTGTAGGCTTACTCCTAGCTGCTCATAGGTAAATATTTTCATAGTTGTTTATGTCATAAAGCACAAAACACATATAATAAAAAAGCAGAAGAAATAACGTAGGAATAAAGTTCATATCAGTTAGTGACTTTAATAGGCTTCTTGGCCCAAAAGAGCGGAACTGTGCCCGCAATGCGCTCACCTCTACCGGAAAGACAGACCCCATCTTCCTTTTTTGTGGTGCTTTGTAAGTTAGACGCGTCTATGAATGACATGGAACATTTAGAGCTTTTATAGGTATGGCTGACCAGCTCCCTTCATAGCGGCGGTGATGAGACAGTTACATGGTTCAGTGACGCGCCATGCATGCGTCCCTTTCCCAGGATTGTGAGAAGTGGAAGCATTGGGACAATGTGCGAAGCGTGACCAACAACCCTACCCTACCAATTTCACAATGCGAAAGAGGGAGGGGATGCGCGAGCTGCTGCTTAGCGGAGGCGAGTTCAACCAACACTTTACTATGACGAGTCAATGGATACAGCCATCAAAATACGACATGGGTCGAAGAACTTTCAATAGGGGTAGGGGTTACTTGAGATAGTTTTGTGGATAGGTTTTTTCAAAGTAGTTGAAGAGGATCTGATCAATAAAAAAAGTCCAGCCCTTTACCGTTTTGGTGTTGAACCCTTGCGAACCGCAGTCGACATATTTGTGGAATTAGTTGGAATTATAAAAGAGAGGGATGAAGCTAGGACTGGGAAATACTGGGGAGTGGTCCTTTGAGAGAGTACTTCTTACTGACATGCTTGAACTGCAACAAACCATGCTCAAATGTCCCCTATGCTTGGCAATGAAATAGTGGAAGGATCCATAGATTGCTTTTAGGCCTTGCTGAAGGCTGGAATCCCTTTGAACCTCTGGTATTCCCTGATTATTGGCTTGATTTAGGCGTAAACTTGAAACTGTTGTTTTCATGCCATCGAAATCCCTGTGCTGTTAATTTTAGCAGTCGTTTTCCCTAGCCATTTAGAATTCTCTTGGAATAACTCACAGCTCGACCCAACGGGAAAGGTGCTGGGCTTACGAGTTACGCATCAATGTGTTGCAGTTGGCAGTGCCTGCCGTACAATTGTCACCATTCACTTCAATCAGCGCTACGATTATGGTAACGGCGTCGACGGCGATTTGAGCCGACCAGTTCGCTCTATTTATCACTTTCAATAGTCCCATAAAAGCGACAGACAGTTCCGCAGAGGGCGCTACTGAGAAGGAATTTGGACAGGTGAGAGGTGAAACGAGTTTTGACATCGTGCTGGGATATGGACCAGCATGATAAGTCACTGGCGGCTCTGAGCTTGATGGTAGACCTCTGTTGGACCTGCGCTGATACCGCTTATCCAATTGGAATGGTGGCGACTTTCTGGAGAATGCTACGCTTCAAAGGCCTTGTGTCAAAATAGCTCAAGGACTGCCAAGAATGAAATCTGGGATATTCCCGTGCAGTAATGGGAATGGGTGTTTGTCAGGTAATCCCACTTTTTTTCTTGCGTGATTAGAACTTTACGTTGTCAGTTATAGTGCAATATCTGAGGCACCTACCACCTCAAGCAGCTTTAGTCCCTATCGAGTACCAGGTTCCATGCGCCTAGGGAGGTACCTGTCCCATTCCACATGATCCATTGGCTTTCGTGAGCTCAAAGCCTACACCAGTTTTCCTTGACAGCGGCCGTACGGTACTTGCGAGGGAATTAGCTTTTCCATTGCCTCTCCCATAGCTCAGAGACTTTCTGGAGCTATGAAAATATTACGGGATGGAGCTATTTTGAGACCCTTTGGCACCGCTTGCTACTAACCCACAACATTATTCTATCGACAATTCATAACATTGCTAGTTGAGAGAGTGGCGTGGCGTTCTCAAATACGGGCGTGTAAGGGGCTGTCACAACCATTGCCGTAATGTGCTAGCTGAACAGAAAATATCTACTTTTCCGAAAATCTAATCATACAGTACGTCAACAGTTGCTCGTGATTTTTGTCCTCCCCCCCCCATAGGAGCAAAGATCATTCGAAAGCCAGCTTTCATCTCTTCCTCTATTTGCGCATTTTCGGATTTCCCGAGCTTCTTTATCCGTTTGTTCATCCTTCCTCCTTCTTTTTTTTCATCCTTCGTCATTAGTAATGGTTCCTTATAACCCATGTCTCGATGTGGCATTTAGCCTGATACCGTACCTCAACTGACCATCGACATGACCCGATGTCATCGTGTTTGTGAGGCGGACTCAATTACAGGTGGGTTACTGCTAGGTGATCGGATCAGAGGGCCAACATAAGCAGTTGTATTCAGGAAATTCGCATTCAATCCTAATGGCCTTCAAGACCGAAGGCGATTCTTCGCAACCATCGATCGTCTATGTGAAAGCTGACACGACGGACGAGATTCGTTGGTGAGTGTGGACAATCACGCCCTTTCTATGTGCTCGTGCATTGAGGAACATAACTGATAGAGTCCTGCTTGTAATCCGCCGACAATCACTTGAGGCCTGATACTCTTTGTACTCACTCAATGCGAACAAATTTCAGGTGGCAGAATATGCTGAACGCCTACGCGAAGCAAAACACCATCCAAGTTCGACCGAGGCGACAAATGACCGACGAGAAGTATGAGCCAATAGCGGTAAGTTCGTATTTTAGGGAAGCTGCTTGAGCGGAACGAGCTGCGGAACGAACCACGGAAAGCTACCTTGATTTCCAATTTCCGAAAATACCCTTGCATCCGCCTATGCGCCAGCAATAACCTAAGATTGAGCCATTTCCCACCTCACCTATCAGTTTCTCTCTCACCCTATATCTTTACTCCAGTCCATGATGGTTCTCTACGTTTTGGGAAATAGCGAGGGGATAGGAGATCAGGAGATTAAGATATCGGAAAAATTCACATCCAAAAATTTGATACGTATTCATCTGGAGAATGGAGATTAAGGGATCGGAAGATTCCAGCCGCATCAATCAATACCTTTGTAATCCTTTCAGCTAGCTCTCCTTTTCTAATTTTCAGTAAGAACATCTAATCTTTCCCGCTGTAGCTCCTATCTCGCTACCCAATACATATCTCTCGAAACGTGGACTATGAACGCAACCTGAGCGAAAGGTTCATAAATCCTTGTTATAGAAATTTGTCAAGGAAAAAACCCATATGAGGAACAGATCCTATGGGTGAAGCTCCAGTTCGGGGGGGGGGGGAGGCGCTCCATTGTGCTCTCCGATACTAACCAGGAAAGGCATTCAACTTCCCATGGAACTTTGAGATTGAGACCCAGATATATCGATAGAGCTTCAAACGCTGATTACAAATATGGAAACTAAAACTGCAAAATGAACCTGCCAAGGAAGTTGTGAGCAGTCAAAGTTGGCTGGAAGTAAAGCATTACGTGCTAGCCTCCGGGCTTTCAAAGTCGCCGTGGAGTAGTGGTAGTGCTCTCGAAATTGCATTCCAACGGGGTGACCTTCCGGGTAAAGAGCGAGGGCACTACCACTACTCCACGGCGACTCTGAAAGCCTGGGATCCAGCACGGTTCATATGCAACGCTTTACTTTAGCCAACTTTGACTGCTCACAACTTCCTTGGCAGGTTCATTTTGCAGTTTTAGTTTCCATATTTGTAATCAGCGTTTGAAGCTCTATCGATATATCTGGGTCTCAATTCAAAGTTCCATGGGAAGTTGAATGCCTTCCCTGGTAAGGATAAGGATAATAGTTCTCATGACACGTAGTCGATTTATTTAAAATTACTTCTGATAAGGACCGTGTAGTGTGAAGGTATCCCTAAGGTGGCTTCAGATGTCGGTCTACTCCTGGCTGCGGTCCAAGGAAATGGTCCTGAACTAGGGTATAGATATCTTTTCGTAGGTGCGAGGGTGTAGGTGCTCAGGGTGGACGATCACATACCATAAATTGCCTAGAATGTGAGCAGGATATGCGAGATGTAGCATTACACGGTCCTTATCAAAAGTGAATTCCCCGAACTAGGAGTTTCACCCAACCTATGTATATAGGGGAAATAAAATGCCAGCTTTAACTCATGGGCGTTTCGCATCTCAAAGTAATGCAGTTTGACTTGCCAAACTCCGCCGAGGAAGGGAAAGGGGTCCATTAATTATTAGTTTTTGGGAGTGCCTAGCGACGTTTGCTGTCGCTTTCCCTTTTTGCAGACCGACTGCACTTTGCTGTGTTCGCGTTTTTCATCAGTTGCGTTTCCTCTTTGAACAGGTGCAGTCGTGCTGCAGACTTACGATGCATACATTTTATCGATTTATTACCGGAAACATTAAGAGGGGCCAGTTTTCGAATGTACGTAGTCGCCGGTGTGTGTTTACGGATCTATTGCAGGTGATTTCTCCCGAGCCGGATATGGAGTTTTCGGCGTGTTCGTCAAGATGTTCTTCTGGATCGGTTGGAGGCGGAGCGAACAGCACCAGCCCCTGCAACCGTTGTTACCGTTGAGCCAAGGGACGCAGCGGCTATCGCCGGTGCAGCTGTTAAAGGCACCCATGGAACGCCACGCAGTGTCAAACAGAGGGACAGGAACTCAAGGTGAGGCCTGGATTGTTGCAAGGGGAGGACGTTCTGAAAAAAATAAGCGTCATTTTTCGGATCAAATGCATTGAGGGCTAAAATCGGCCAGATCTGACCAAATTTAGCTACCAGTGCACTCCAACAAAGAATAACGCTTACTAGAAACTTCCTCCCTATGCAGCTCGGTGCACCGTTCAGTGAACGATTTAATGGGAGGATGCTCAGAAAAGGGGCTGGAGTGCTAGTGGGAGGAACGACATGGGGCAAGATACCTAACCAAACAGTCGACCGCGAGCCAACCGCAGACACCGTCTGAGAACGACGCAGAATGACCTTGGGGTTATGTAAACTATGCTAAATCCCTTAGACTTTAATTTTGAGCACTGTTCGCATATAATTGACAAAGAATTGGGGTTCTTTGAAATCTGGCATGAGCTGTGAACTTAGTCTCGAACTAGAGGTCGTTGGGATGGTTGATATGGTGCAAGATGTCACTAAGACCTTCGACTTGACTATTGTACTTTAGGAGGTTATATAGAAAATTACAAAGACAAAAGGATAACCAGTACGGGATTGAGCTGTTCTAGTTGCTGTCTTAGCCCTTGTCTCATTGGCAATCTCTACCACTACGCTCCACTCCCCTAGCTCAATTCCAAGCATTTCGGCCATTGGTGTTCCCGTCTCCAAGTTTGAATGACTCATTTCGGCTCATATATTTGTTCAGGGAGGAACCGTTGAGACGATCGGAATCGTCATCCCACTCACAGACCACGCCCATCACCACGATCGCCAACCCCGTCATCACCACAGGCAGCTGTCCGACAATTTCGCGGTATGTCATTGTTTACAGTAATCCACGTCCCTTTACCGTACTTCAGACTTCTCATAACGATTTCATTCATTATTACTAGTCAACTAGTTTGCCATGAGTTTTTCCTGCTTGAAATGGGAGAACCGGTCTTTCAACTGGCAAAAGCCATCCCCTCCTTTATTGGGTGCTATTGTCGACGATTACAGCAATCACTCGTCCAGGTTCTTTGATGGGCATTCGCCTCTGACTAGGCTTTATAGCCGGCTCGTCCCTTCACGCTTACTCTCCCTACCCGTTCTACTCGAAACGGCTAAGTATTTGTTCGTGACTTTTTTCAAACTGTACGCGTGTGCTTGTTCGCGCTGTTGACACTACTCCTCCAAACACGAACAGCCAATTTCTCGAGCTGGATCTTATTGCATCCCGTCGGCTCCACGAGGGCCTGTTGTCGCTTCCATTGTTGACGCGATAATTGAACTCGTTCTCGATCAATTGCCCAGCTATCATTGGATTATGGTCCGGTTCTTTTCAGGACCGTAACGTCACCGCCGGTGTCCCGTAGTCGGCTATCATCTGCTTCTGCTGAGTCGATCGCTCCATCTGTGCCCGTTCAACAGGTTCAGGGCGAAGAGAAGAAGAATTTAGATCCAGGTAGGGCATGATACTATTTTTTTTACACCTTGGAGTCCATGTAGCCTTCATGTGTGCAACTGTCTGCCAACCGTGTGGGACCTTGCAACCCCTATTTTGGGAACATGTACTCAGTTTTTTCTTTTGTTTTTCCATTCCAATTAAATAGGTACTTCTACATCACTATAGTATTCTGTTTCGCTATTGCAAGATACTGGCGCATTTGTGAAGTGCTTCAGAATCGCGTAAAAACATCTATTATTGTGAATCAGACAAGCCTTAGGCGCGACTTAGAGACTCCATGAGCGTTTGTTTTTCCAAAATTACCGTGGCCCTTCTAGAATTAGTCCGAAAGGATGTTTTTCCCGTCTGAAGCCCCAAACGCGCGAAAACGTAAAACATGGCGTCCTACAATGTTAAAGTATTTCATTTCATATTTTATCGGGTGGAACAAATCACTGATTCCGAAAATGACAACCCACTACTCCCAAACGAACATCATCGCTTAAAGCCGTTCAAGTATTGATGCCTGGAATATTGAGTAGTAACAAGTTATTGATAGACGTAAGGTTGTCAGCGACTCGTCGCCGCTGCCTTGAAGCCAATCGTGTCCTATTTCCCTTTTCATTTATCGATGTATGTCGACTCACTGCTTCTGTTCGTTTTGTAAACCCAGGGTTCATCCCCTCTTCGCTTATGTGTAGCGCCTTCTCTCGCGCCTTTATTACATCTTCCAACTATTCAGCTACAGCTATTTCGAGATAACTTCATGGCACGATCCTACATTGGCAATCATCTTAGGCCGTAATTACCACATCCTGCTGTGGCCGGACAACTCGTCCGCGCAACACATTCTGTTCCGTTCCTCTTGCCTTGGCATCAGGCCAGCGAAGCTATCCGCTCTTTTTTAGATCTTTGGGACTCAGAGATTTTTGAGACCCAAATTATCAGATCGATCAATTACTGAAGTCTAGTAGTTGAGTGATGCGGACGAGTTGTCCGGGCGCAGCAGATTGGTGTTGTGACATCTAATCCTTTTGCTCCTCTGCGTCTCCTTCACAAGGCCAGACACCAGACACTAAGGCCCAAACTTTTGCCACAGGTTAAGTGGCTCACACACCCCCACCCCCTGAATTGGCCCCATTCCCCCTGGCTCACGCATTCTTACTTACTACCAGGTTCCCGCCACACCAAAAGGATTAGATGTCATACAACCCAGCAGAATGGGGCAATTGCGACCTCTGCGCTCTAATGCCAATGGGGTCGCGTCATATGACTCCCTCCCCCCCCTCAGCTATTCTTCTAGCGCGAATAAGACATTTTCTCTTCTGGAGCCTTGCTCTGGATATTGAATGGTATTGCTTGACATCGCTTGACGTCCCTTCAGGCTCCTTACTTAGTACGTCCAAGGCTTAGACACTGCATCTTCGTCTCGCCTGCCTGTCCGCTCTTTCACCACCTCGCTACCTGTTCCATCGTCAGAGTGCCTAGTTTTTTTTACAGCTAAGTCGTACAGCTCTAATTGACTGCAGTAGCAAAGCGACGTTGGGAACGCTTTCGGCAGTTTCTTTTGCTCTTCTTTAGGGCAGTAAAACATACGCGATGCAGGCGAGTTTGCGCGACGAAAAATGTGCGCAAAATAAACGAACGAGGCTTCGAGGTACGTCTCACCTCCTAGGAGGGACCGGCCATCGCTCTCATTCTCCAACTTTTGCGGAGGAGAGGTTGAGCCGTACGTTCACGTTGGCGGCTCATCCACATAGAAATCTCGTCTACTGCTCAAAATCAATGGCAAGAATGACAACATCTCTCCTTCTCTCAGACTTTTGAGCGTTTTTCGTGGAAGCTTTTTTGCAGCCGTACCACTTAGGCAGGCGCTAGACTCTGCTACCGAGTATATGAAGGATACCAGCGTGCGTCCGTATCTAACTGACACATGGCTGGAATCCTTCGGCGCATTCCTCGT